CTCCTAAATCTGCCTTGTGATATTTTTTATTCTACCTTAGGGTAAGATCATCGTGGGGTAATGAGAGTTGTTGGTGAAATGAATAATATACCCCCTATACACAACATTGTCCTAATATCTGGAATCTATGATTATTACTTATGAATATGCCAAATGTAACTTGACAGACATGGTCAAGAATTTTGAGGTCAGGAGAGTATCCTGAATTATCTGGGTGAGACCAGCACAATCACAAGTGTCCTTATAACAGGGAGGGAGAACGGTCACATCCAGAGAGGAGCTGGGGCAACAGAGAGGGGTGCTGGAGTGATGGAGGAAGGGGCCATGGAGCCACGAATGTGGGAACATGAGAAAGATGGGAAGCCGGATATTGAATTCTCTCTCTTAAAACATCCAGAATACAGTCCTGTTACTGAGTCAACAGAAAGGGTTGTGGAGCCAAGGTTTCATCATGCAGATGAAGCCTCCGGATAGCAGGCTTCAGAAAGAATAGACTGTAATGGTTTCTTAGCAGACTTAAAAGGTGCCAGACTGCTAGTTAAATCTCTCTGGGCCACGAAAGAGACTCGAAAAGGGACAGGATTCTCTACAGAAGGTAGATTTTCCCCACAAGAAACAACTTAGCAGAGGCATTTTCAAATACATTAAATACAAATGTCTTGGGGAAAATACTTTGATTTCCCTGAGGCCTGGCATCTGTCATGTTGGTATCTTATTGCTATAAAGACTTTGCTTTGTCAGTCTCAAGGTCTCTGTTTTAACATTAAACACTGGTCAGTTGTACCTGAATTTTAAAGAGAGGATAGTCAGTTAAGGCATATCTGATCATCCATTCCCATCATGGACTGTACTGTATTTCAGGTTGATTTTGGAGTGTTCTTGATTGAGAGAAGGAGTTTATGCGGTTGGCTAGGGAGCTTGGAGTTTCATTTTTGGTTCACACACCTATGTCCAGGTAAGAGGGACTCACACAGGAGGGCTTGCACAGAACCTGGCTTGCAGGGCTACTTACAGACCTGCTCTGTCTCCTGTTGTCATGCACAACGACGGACACAGTCAGTGACAAACCTCAGCCATCCAAGGAGAAGCTGTGTCTGCAGAGGACAGTCATGAGCTATGAGTCTACCTAACTGCGATTGTCTTCAGGCACCTGTGGTCCTCAGCTTTCGTGGGATTTGTGTGGAAACTGGCTCAAAGAGCATCCACCAGGATTCTTATGAGAATATCTCATTCACAGAAAGCAGTGGGTGATATGACAGCACAGAGGGACTCTGTGGGGCTAGCTGCATGGAACACTCTGGGAGAGTCACTGGCACCCGGGCTAGACAGAGCTTCTTGCAACTTCTGAAGCACATGAATTTGGATCTCTTAACATCATTTTGAAAGACCATTTATTATTCAGAAGGCAACCATTGTAACTAAGATAGCATCTGTAATAGATAGGAATAAAAAAGTGATATTTTATTGCTAAGATGATTACGAGAAAACAAACAAACAAAAATAGTGTGAAGGAAAAAAGCAACACTAGACTGAGGGTTTTGGGTAAGAGCTTGAGACTCAGTAGTGAATCCCCTGGGCCATCTTCTGTCAGTAGAGAGGGACAATCAGGAAAGGGAAATGTGCAGTAGAGACAAAATCTTGGTGATTAAAAGAATCCTAAGAGAAAACAAGAGTCTCCTTCCTGAGCATCAGGTTGGTGTTGGGAAGATGAGTATAATCCCCACGTTCCAGGTCTTACACTTTTCAGCAATTAGGGCTCAGGATGAATTCAGAAGACACCATTCACTTCACAACAGATGGGGACACAGTCAAGGCAGCGGTGAGAGGCAAGGCTGGGCTTTCAGTCTCAGAGCACAGAGCAGGTTCCCCACTGCTCCGCAGCCTGATGTCTCCTCTTATATGTTCCAGATGTTCCACCTCATTCTTGCCTTAAGGGCTCCAATTTGTTAATGGGACAGTAGCCCTCTTCCTTTCCCAGGGTTTGTTAGAACTTGGCTCTCTTGTGTATTGTGGGGTTTGTTTGCCATCTAGAGGCAGGTTCTCGGCATAGCAACTTACAGGCTTTTTCTACTTGTGATACCGAAAATAATTACATACATAAATTTATCATAAATAATAAATTGACTTAATGTATCAAATCAGTAAAAAAAAAAAAAAAAGATGAGTTTAAGAGCTTAAAAGGAGTCTGATGAGGTTAAATAGAGAAATTACTTTAAGTGGAGGACAGAGCAACGATTATTATTTTTTAAATCGATGACATTTTGAGAGGAATTATCATACCGTAAATAACAACTTGAAATAAGCTGCTAAAATATAATTTTATACTCAAAAAGTATTTCCAAGAATCATATAAATACATTTTCAGATTAAAACACACAAAAGAATGTGGGTTTATCATCAGGTGCACTCAATGGAAGATTTCTCAAATGTGTACTTGGAGCAAAAATAACATTTATTTCTATTTGCAAGTTCAAGATTTTTGATCTTTAGAAGAAAACAACTTTCCTTTCACTCTGTTCCACTCATGCTGCTGAGGATGGGCGTGGGGGCAAAGACTGTGAGGAAGGAGAAAGCTTTGGGCTGAGGGTGGTCGTGCCTCCTGCCCACCTGAGTGACCTCATGGAGAAGAGCCAATGACACCACCAAGGCCACGTGCCTGCCTCTGCACTGCCTTGGCACAGACAGAGAAACCTGGTCACACTTGGTCAATGGGAACTAAAGGCTTTTTTGTACCAGCCAATTTTGATTTTCCTTGTATCTTCTCTCAGGTTTAGGGGATAGTTCACCTTTCACCATTTGTTTTCACAGTGTAGCCGTTTGTTACATCAGCATTACATAAGTTGTTTCTTTGTTTGTTAAATTATCTAACCATGTTAAATGGGTTGGGACTAATCCTGTGTCTCATGGCAAAGCAGAAATTCAAGTTCACTAGAAGCTGTCAATCACATGAGGGCTAAAGATGACGATAACATTGCTTAGCTCTGGGTCATACTACTTACAATTTTTTTTTTTTTTTGACAGAATCTCACTTTGTTAACCAGTTTAGAGTGAAGTGGCATGATCTCAGCTCATTGCAACCTCCGCCTTCCGGATTGAAGTGATTCTCCTCCCTCAGCCTCCTGAGTAGCTGGAATTACAGGTGCATGCCACCACGCCTGGCAAATTTTTATACTTTTAGTAGAGACAGTTTCACCATGTTGGCCAGGCTAGTCCTAAACTCTTGACTTCAGCAGATTCACCTGCGTCAAAGTGCTTGGATTACAGGCGCAAGCCACTGCACCCCATCACACTTTGTGTTCTTTAACTGCATTCTTTATAATGACTTTTAAGCTCAATTATGCATTTATCAGCACTTTTAAAAACATATTTTGTCACTTATTTTTCATTTGAGGGTTCCAGAGTGATTGATATGCATACAATTTTTGCCATAGAATTTTTAAACCTAACAGAAATGGAACTTCGGAATTCTAATTGCACTTACTAAGGAAACCGTTATCTTGGAATAAACAAGCATCTCAAGTGTACTTTATACCCTTAGCCTGAAGCGGATCTTCTTCCGTTGATTCAGTCATTGTTTTGTGTCTATCACACGGTGTTATGACGTGTAGCTCACATGACTCATTATGGGGTTCAGTATCATTTAGAACACTGTTTACTAAAATCTATGAAAAGCATACATGTTCCATGCATTGACATCTGAAACATAGAAATTAGATTCATTTCCAGGTAATGACATAAAATGTGAAAAGAATGCATTTCTGGCTGGGCGTGGTGGCTCATGCCTATAATCCCAGCACTTTAGGAAGCCGAGGAGGGTGGATTACGAGGTCAGGAGATTGAGACCATCTTGGCTAACACAGTGAAATCCCGTCTCTATTAAAAATACAAAAAATTAGCCAGGCGTGGTGGCAGGTGCCTGTAGTTCCAGCTACTAGGGAGGCTGAGGCAGGAGAATGGCTTGAACACGGGAGGTGGAGCTTGCAGTGAGCCGAGACCACTCACTGCACTCCAGCTTGGGCAACACAGCAAGACTCCATTTCAAAAAAAAAAAAAAAATGGTTTCTTTGAAATCTTTTCTTATGAAAACACAGTAATAAATTTCCACTCTAAAATAGAACTTAACCTATCTACTTTCAAAACTTTTAGAATTTGGAAGAGAAATAAAAATCTCACATAATTTCGAATGTTTCCTTTGTACTTGAAATAAACTTTTATTTTTTCTCTTTGAGTTTATGCAGTTATTTTTAAAGGCCACTTTTGGAATTGTGAAAACTCGCTTTCCACTTGCCAAATAATTAAGAGTAACCATTTTTGGACATCAGGATTTCATACCGACCATGAGTTTATAAAGTCTATTTGAATAATCCAGCATCAAACATTTTTACTGAGTGTCCTTAGCCATACTCCCCTGCACACAGCTTGTGTAGAATGCTTTCTCCTGTAAGACACTGGAGAGGAGGGTTTAGTGCGAGTCGGAGAGTAGAATCAGGGAGATGGGATACAATGAGTTTCCAAATATGACTAAGTGTCATTGTGCATGAAATAAACTCCAAGTTGGTCATTTCCCATATGTGTTCTACCTGTGTTGTCACTAAACTGCATCCATGGTCTGGTTGTTCTGACAGCTGCATGAACTTGATAAATGTGGGCAAGACAGGGACAGTGAGGATAGGAGCTTTCATTCACTCTCCCTTCATCATAGCCGGTTGCTCCCAGGGCACGTGGCCCCGCATGAATTCTCCTCCTCCTGATGCCTTCCGCAGGCTGTGGCAGCTGGTGGGGCCTTAACATGTGGGATCTGAAATGCTGCTGAGGTTCTCATGGACCAGCATCCTCAGCAGCAAACGCCGCCCTGACGTCTCCAACAGCCTTCTCTTCTGCAGACTCAGAGACTCTGCTCAGCTGCTTCCCCAAGACAAGCGGCACATGTGGGCAGTTGGGCCAACCCAACAGGGAGGTTTCTGTTCGAGGATGTAGCACTGTGGGAGGAAGCTGTGTACCTTGCATGCAGTAATAAACCCCAACATCCTCAGCCTCCACCCGGCTGATTTTCAGTGTGAAATCAGTGCCTGACCCACTGCCACTGAACCTGTCTGGGACTCCAGAGGCCCGGTTGGAAACCAAATAGATCAGGAGCTGTGGAGACTGGCCTGGCTTCTGCACGTACCAGTCCAAATAGGTGTACCCATCACTATGCAGGAGGCTCTGACTAGACCTGCAGGAGATGGAGGCCGGCTCTCCAAGGGTGACGGGCAGGGAGAGTGGAGTCTGGGTCATCACAATATCCCCACTGGTCCCTGAAAAAATAACAGAGCAGTGCAAGTTTATATAGATACATTATGAGCAACTTTCATAATTTCTCTTCTGATATTAATTTACAGTTACATTTTAAAGTTTTGATTTATATCATGAAAAGTAGACTTTCAAAAATAAACCCATTATTTACTAGCCAGCAGGGAACTCTTTATTTTCTGAATCAGAGCACTGGTCATCGTTCCCTGGAGGTGAATCCTGATTACTCATAAGACAAACATGAATTCCATTCCCTGGAACATAGACCATGTGACTCCATCATATTATTGGAATAAACATGTGAAGCTGTGGAGCCCACAGAGCTCACCTCCCAACCAATTCTCCTCCCTCATCTCCTTCGGTCCTTACCAGGGAGCCAGAGCACCAGCAGCCCCAGAAGCTGAGCAGGGAGCCTCATTGTGAGAAGGTGACCTGAGGAGTCCTGATCAGTCAAGGCAAGGTTAGAGATGAGTTTTTATCTCAGACTCACGAGGGAAGATCCTCCCTAGGGGACAAAATGCAAATCCCCTGGTGGGTGCAGTGGCGTGGAAAAGGTTGATGGGGCAGGGAGAATATCTCTTCTGTGAACAATGTGATATAAATTGTCCCTTGGAACAAAACAGAGAGATTCAGTCAAGTTTGCCCACAATCAAGGGAAGAAGGATCTGAAGGGGAAAGTTGGGACCTTTTATAGGGACACACTGTGTAGGGCATGACTGTAAGAAAGCACCAGAACCCTGACCATGTGGAAATGTGTATCCAGGATGCATCTCTGGGAGGTGAATGCCATCTGACTTGATTCCCTCCTAGTCAATCTAGAGAACCAAACAGCCCCATCCCCACTAGCACTGCTGGACTGAGAGCAGGCAAATAAAAAGCGGCTTGGAGCCAGTTCAAGGGCTGTCTGGTATCTGCTGTTTCCAGGATAACTGTTCAAGAAAGTTCAACTCAAATACTAGATTCTACCCTGCCCTGGCACCTGGTGAGTGAACTGCATAAGAGCTCTGTGTCCTAGGGCCTCACCGGGAGAATGATGTGAGCCTCTACATTTAGACCCAAGAATGCAGTGTAAGGAAAAGGAAAGAAAGACACAATTTTGTGCCTCAGGCAGTGAACATAAAAGTCCTGGTGACCAGTTACTCAGTCTGGGTTCTATCTCATCATAATCATCTCACATATACAAGGCTAACCAGAGGGTTCTTTTTGTATTTGTATTTGTATTTTTTTATTTAGTAGAGATGGTGCTTCACCATGTAGTCCGGTCTTGTCTTGAACTCCTGACCTCAGGAGATCTGCCTGCCTGGACCTCCTAAAGTACTGGGATTACAAGTGTGAGCAATTGTGTCTGGCCCAGAGAACTCTCTTAAGGGAAGAATCTTCTAGGTTAACGACACAGAACAAATAAGAAATAACTTTGCATGATGTTTTTTCAAGTGGTGATTAGAAAACTTCTTCCCATGCAGTCTTCCTGGTCATGTGGAATCAGGTCCTGTCAGGGCTTCTAGGTTCTTGTCAACTCTGAGTGAGACATGAGTCTCCCCCAGGCTGGATGTGGTGCAGCCACAGCCATGAATCCCCAGATCAAAAGGAAATTCTCTATCTATAAAGAACAAGAACTGCATTCACGGTTTTACGTCTCTGGGTAACCTGTACCTGTAACTAATTGTTTCTTGACTTTATGTAAAAATGCTCAGAGCTTAGGGATGTGAATCTCCCATTCACCTGATCATTAAACAGAAAACCAACCACACTCTTCTTTATTTGTCACTGATGCGTTTAATATTCCATTGAACAACTCCTGAATAATGGTGCCAACAATAAATACTTTCACAAGGACAGTCACATTTATGGGAAAAAAAAAAAAAACCAAATCCAGGAACAATGAAGGGCTAGCTTGTAGTGTGATTGATGTAAGCTTGGGTAATTTAACACAAAGTCATATATAATTGCCCAAGAACACAAATAAATGCCATTGTAGGTAAGATTGCGAGGAAAGCTTGGTCTGAATATCATCTGGGAAAACTACCAAAATCTCATTTTTTAATAAGATTGGAAACCATACTTGAGTAAAAATGATATTGACCTTCAAGTGTTGAACTCCGTGGCAATAATATGGGCTGATGATATCAAACAGTAGCTATGAGGTAGGATTGAAATAAAAATCTCATATTTCACTGTTAAAATTTTATTTACTCTTTTCACTTACTATATTTTGCAAATCATGTGTGCTCGACTTTTTTTCTTATGATGTCAACAAATTCTGATCTGCTTCTTGGTGTTGAAAAGGTCAGACTCTTAATCATGATAGTGAAAGAAAAGTCAGAAACATCAGAAGCTGAAGGAATAGCACAAGGAGACATAAAACATCAACAGCTTAAGGAAAATAGGGGAAAAAAAGGTCGATTTTATTGTTAGTTTCAAATAATTATTCTGAAAGGGCGTTAAATGAATTATCAGTTTTATCTGCTACCTAATTCAAAACTTTGAGTTGCAGGGGAGTGAATAACAGTAAAATATTTGTCCTGTTTTCTTTTACTATAAGCCAATTCTTGAAAATGTTATTTTCACAAAGTATCTAGATTGCTTGAATTTAAGAAAGCATTGCTATTTTCTATGAGAATGAATGAACCATTAAAAAGGTAACTCCTGGGATTTTTAACACAAATCTAATGATTTGTCCCCCTACAGATCAAAAAATGTAAAATCTTGTACAAATCCCTTTTTAGTCAGAAAAAGGCTTTGAAACTACCCGATTTAACCTGTAGACTTAAAGAACACTATTACTAACTCTAACCAGAAACTTCCCTCTCTTGTCTGTTGACACATCATGCCAGGACTTTCAGAACAGCAGACAAAGCTGGTCAGTCCCAGTGGGCACAGACAAGATGGAAGAGCAGCCTACATTTGAATCAGGGTGGGAGCAGGCCTCTGTGTGTCTCTAATCTGGACTATGTTCACCTAAATGAGGGAGAACTTCTACAGGCAGGGCTGAGTGTCTCCTTTTCCTGATGTAGTTAGTTTGGGATCCATAAAATTGAAAGCAACTGTATTACTCACATGACTTGGGAAGAGAGTCTTGGAAGTGGAATTGTTTGTATTCATTACCAGGAGTCAGTGTTTACAGGGTGGTCACTGTGATCCTGTTTGTAGGGTGATTGAGGGATTTGTGGGCTGACCAAGGCCAAGGAAAAAGAGATGACAATAGGTGGCAGTAGCACACGTGCCCTCTATTGGATGAAGCTTTGACAGGTTTGCAGCGAGAAGTCCCTCACAGCAGGGGGTAGTCTGGAGAATAATGTACCAGGTTTGTTTCTCAAAATGGACGGGACACTGGAGAAGGGATATGCATCTAGTGGATGCCACACAGCAGCACAGTGGGGAGTTTCTGCATCAGAGAGCTACAGAGGGCAGTACTAAGTGTAAGGTTTTCAAAAACTGGGGCTTGTCTTACCTACTGCTAACAGAGGTGGGTGAGGCTTTCCGCACCTATAGAGTATTTTCTAAAAGGTTAAAAAGGCCCTTATTTGAGTTGTTTTTAAAACAATTACATTTTAAAATTTGAGTATGGCACAAGCCATTGAGAACTAAGCCTACAGTTTTGAAATAAACAACATAGCATTCTCATTTATAGATGACTGTTGCACATCGTGTACACTTTGTTTTACAGACTGTATTAGTCCAGACAGTGCAAACCCACACTGCTATGGATGAGGCTGAGACACACAGAGGCCTGTTCCCTACCTGACGAGCCTCAATGAACCTTCTTTTAATTAAAGGTGAGAGTTTGTTCTTGGATGAGAATTAAGACCAAGAAACCCACAATGGGAGCTTCCATCTGTGAAGCTGCAGGTCCTGTGAATGGATTCCTGGCTTTCAGGCACCTGGGATTGAAGCTGTCTGCATTGTCTCACTAACTGAAATTGTCCCTCACTGGAGCATAGATTCATAGATAAATATTCTGGAACACAGGGAGAGAGCACAGGGAATGTAGGCTCTCTGAATGTGTATCTTCAGCTACTGAGAATCTCTCTCTCCAAACGTTGAAAGAAACAGCATTGTTTCCATATCGGACTTTTCTGAATCTTCAGACCCTGTTCTAGATCTGTCTCATCTGAACCTGTTTCCAAATGTTTCAATTCTGGTCTTTACTTTTCCTTGGAAAAGTTTTCAGAATCCTATGAAATTATCCACACAGCTGTGGGATTAAGTGGTGGGCTTCTCCTCTGTGCTTGTTAATATCTCCGCAGAATCCTCCACACCCACCAACCGCACAAGGTGAAGGCATGAGTCTCTTTTCTTTCTGAGCCTTCTGTGTCTCTTAGGTTCCCTTTGAATTCTTCTTGAAGAAAGGGGTCTCTGTCCTCAAAAGTAAAACTCCATAAAACCATAGATTGCCTGAGAGGTTAGTAAAATTTTTCTACTCTTTAAATGTAAAGTTAGCCTTGAGGCCGTATAGTAAAACCTGGTTTACTTGACAGACGTGAAATGAAGATCCCAAGAAGTTTCTAGAGACTAATTGGGGATTCTAGTCATTTAAACTGTAGTTGAAGCTGCAGTTGATATAAGAACTTCAATGTCTATGACAAGAAAATAATGTGGAATAACTTATTTACTTTTAACTTAGATAAGAGAGTTTACCTGTTAAAAAAAATTGAAATACAATTTGCGAGTTCTCACACTTAGATTTTTCATGTTAAACAATTTTAAGAATCAAGCAAATATGTATATAAATTATAATTGATAATGTTTAAGGGTCTAGAGAAAAATTAGGATTCAAATTAATCAAACTGAGTTCTAAAGACAGCTGAATTTCTTTTTTAACTGCTTCTTTTCACATCCTATTAGCAAAAACTAAAAGTACAGAAAAGGAGAGAGACAAGAGCTGAATAAAATCTTTAGTGCTCATTTCTTATCTCATAATAATAATAATAATACAACCTTTGCACTGACACCTGGAAATATTGACTCTACCCTTCTGGAAGCAGCAGCTTCACATCACGATAGTGAACTTTATTATTATTGGGTCATTCTTGGACAGGAGCTAAGGATCACCGAAATGTAAATGCTCTATGAAGAGCCAATTGCCCTTACGCTGGAATACTTCTAGATATTAACTCTTCTAAAATATCAAGTAGAAAAAAAAAATGAACTATCAGTCATAAAAAGAAATACATTCTGACTTCCCAGGAGCTGTCAGGAAAAAAACTACCATGTTTAACAAAGGACTAGAGGCATAATCTCTTGCCCGACACTGATTTAGCTGGATCTCACTCATATTTAATAGTTTTACGCTAGTAAATTAGAAACATCCTCAACCTAGATAATGGTTTCTTTGCTATTCTGGAATCCTAGCAGCCCTAGGTGAAAATTAAAACTGAAAAGAAGAAGGTATACAAATCTGTTACCCTAGGAAAACTGTTTATGCAACAATTATTCATATAAG